TAAATTTTAAATTATGAATTATTTATTGAATTTAATTGTCCATAAAGTCTATATATATATACTAAAACAAAGCGGTCAAAAAATTTTCTCCTTTTTTTTGAATTTTTTATTTTTTTTATTCCATGTCATTTTTGAAACAACCAATGAGATGCACTTTCCAAGAACCTAAATAATTTCTTCTCCTAAACTACATCTCCCACTTTCTCCAAAATTATCTCTAATTTAATAGATAGTTTCTCTCCTAAATTATCTCTAATTCCTATTTATCCTACCCCCTACTTTTTATCTATATTTATCTAAAGAAAGTTTGGATTAAAAAAGTTTATTTAAATATTCTAACAAAATTATATAATAACTTTAAAATATTTATTAAAAACACAAAAAATAATTTTATATTTTTACAAAATATATCACAAAATTATGTACTAACAATTTAAATTATGTTTTTCTGGATTATCAATTTAAATGTTTTTCAAATATTTAATAATATGTAATATCTTTAAATCAATAAAATTCAAATAACAAAAAATTTAAATATTTTATAGATTATTTAAATATTTATCATAACTAGATTTAAATAGTTAAAATAATGGAATTATGTAATAAATTTAAAAAATTTATTCAAAGTAGAAAAATAATTATAACATAATATTCAAATTAATAATAATTTAATATATTACAAAATTAATAATGGAATTATGTAATAATAGTATAAATTATGATTTTATGGATAATTGAATTCAATAAATAATTAATATTTTAAAATTTAAATATTTTACATATTATTTAAGTATTTAAATACTAAATATTTTAAATAAAAAATATTTAACATAACTAGATTTTAAATAATTAAAATAAAGAAATTATGTAATAAATTAAAAAAAATCTGAAAAGTAGAAAAATAATTATAACATGATATTATAAATAACTAATTTCACTTATATCAAGTAATAATTCAAGAAAATAACTTTCAAGAAAATTAATATTTATTAATAATAATTTTAAACTCTTAATCTGTATTTATTATATAATTATATATATTAAAATTAATATTTATTGTATTTTAGTAATTATTTATTATTTTCGTGATAGATGTTTTTTCAATGATTATGTATAAATTTATTTTGTTTCATTATTTAACAGAAAATTTTAATAATTATTGGAGATTAAACTATTATTAATGAATTTTTTAAATTTAATTTATTGTATTTTTGTTATAGCTTACTGATTAATTAATATTTATTAGAGATTAAACTATTTATTGATTAAGTTAATATATTTTTAGTACTTATTGTATTTTTGTAATTATTGTATTTTTTTCATTACCAATATATTTTCAATAATTGTGTATTTTCGCTATAAATTTTCAATAATTATTGGAGATTAAACTATTGTTATTTATTGGAAATAAGATAATTAATTTAGCTAAAATTATGAGTGCCTATGAGTTGGTTCGGTCCGGCCATAGGCTATTTGGCCAACCAAATTGACATGGTCAGGTTGGGGAGTTGGTCAGCTGAAACCAACTGACCTTTTGTGAAAACCGACCCACTCAAGTTATTCGGTTTGGACCGGTTTTCACAAAAGGTTAGTGGGTTCAAAAGATTTAAACTTAAAAATTAAATTTAACTTTAAAATTTTTCATCAGTTAGGTTTTATTTTGAAAATTAGAAGAATAATGAAAGGTAAATTCAACATTTCATTTTTTCCCGTTAATACTTAACTAACATGTCAATTGTAGAAACAATAAGGTACTCTAAGATAAATATGCAAATAGTAAGGATACAGTTTGTCAATTAATTAAACAGTAGGGGTAGTTTAAAGAAATTTGCCCAATTATAAGCTTACAAAATTAGAATGTCAATTAATAGAATCATTAAAAAATAATAATAATAAATTAACACATCTATTAATAGGGCTGCATTTGGATGCGATGAAAATCAAGAACCGATGTAAATTTTATATCGGTTCGGTTTTGTATGCATTTGGAAAGAGGTGTAATTATTATCGATGTAAAACTATACTCCAGTTCAATTTTGCATGCATTTGGATGAAGTATAGTTTTACATCGACGATGTAAAACCTCATCAACTCTAAAGTTTTACATCGATAATCGATGTAAAAACTACATCGATTTTATCGATATAAAACTTTACACTTTCATCCATCATTATTTTAAAAAAAGCAATGATCACTTTATGGTTTAGTGTAAAATGTCATCAATATATTTTTACATTGATATGATTTGCACAGCCTAATGCATCTCTGTAATTCTAAACACAGCCTAATGTATCTCTGTAATTCAAATGTCAAATTGTAAGATATAGCTGACAAAATTAGAATGTTTTAGTGGGGCATATGTTTCAAATCTGGTTCAAAAAATGAGAACTTTTGGGTCATTATGAGACCTATTTACATGGGATAAGCCTAAGATATCCGCTGGGTGGTATCCCTTTTATATGATCTTATTATCAATACACAAAAAAGATTGACCATGCAAGGTAGTGATGGGACCCATTCAAGATAACCATGCCTTAACAGACCTTATTTGAGAAGTTGCAACTGGATCCCAGCTAAGAAACAACTATTTTATTCTTTTTTTTTCATACAAAAAGGAATAAAAAGAGAATCGATTGAATGATTATAGCATTTTTGGATATGAGAAAAAAAAAAAACAGTCGAAACCTGATTTTCTGGATATGGTTTCTTGGAATTCAAGGTATGTATTCCTTTGCTTCTTTTGTTTATCTTTAAAATCAAAGAGAAAGCATCATTAATGATTTTCATGTCGCTAATAATCCTTTTGATGCTGATAACAACATGTTGCAGGACATCTATCAAACTATTCAAGACTGCTTTTTGACCTTATTCTATCTGCAACTGCAACTGTATTCGATAATTTGTTGATTATTTTCACGTGTATGATGCAGGTATAATGAGTTATATCCATTTTCTTTTCCAAATTTATGTGATGTAATAGTGTCATTGCAATTTATTCTTAAACCTCGCCAATTTGAATTCTCAACGAATTCATACGAGTTAACAACACATTGGTCATGGGCGTGGAAATAGACTTTGAGGCGAAGGCATGGAGCCGCACATGGGACAACATTACAAGTTACAACAATCAAACATCCATACATCTCAAGCTCAATGCCTCGATCCTTTCCTTTGAATGACCCGCATCATTTGTCGCTTACTCGTCGTAGGTCCTTGACCGAAATATACTTATTTCTTCGTACAATTGTTTGAATCTTTCCTGCTTCGAAAATTGAAATCGAAACCGATTTCAATCGATTCTTACTGAGTATTTGGTCGGTTTAAGTCGGGTTGGATCGGTTTGAGTCGGTTTCAGTTTTAAGTTCATCCATGCCCCCCATGACCACCTAGTTTTTTGAAAATATATTTAAAACTGAAATATGTATTTTAGAAATATATATATATACATACAAATATATTAGAATATATATTTTTTGGAAATATATATCTAACATATTTCATAATATATATTTTTTAAATATAGATATTGGAATATATATTTTTAGATGTTTCAGTTTTTAGTTAAATAGGAACTAAGTCGGTTCGGTTCGGGTCAGTTTTGATTTTCACACAAGAAAACTGAAACCGACCCGAACCATCGGTTTATGAATTTGTACAACCCGAAACCGACCGGTACTGATGAAAACCCAACCAACTCGAGTTGATCGGTTTGGTCGGATTGGGCCTTCTTATGAACAACCCTAATTAGCCCTTTCGAATAGGGGTATAAATGGATTCAATATCTGATCAAATTTGGATCTTATTCGGATCAAATAATAGGATTCGATCAAAATGTTATACATACATACATATATATATATATATATATATATATATATATATATATATATATATATGACAAATAATTAAAAAGATACTTATATTTTTTATTTAAATTGATATATTTTAATTTTTTTAATAATTTATTAATTTTTAAAAAACAAATCGAATAGAACGAAGGAGACGACGAAAACAGAAAGAGAGATTGAGGGCAGATAAAACCAAATAGTATTTTAGGAAAGGCCTCTTTGCTCTCCCGTAAGTTATTTATTAAGGTAAATGCAGTTAGTATATTTATCTATATTCTTTTATTTTTCAAATAAATAAGGCAATAACGGTTTTAGTCAGGATATTTTTGTCCCATCAGTGTTTGGATCCGGATTCAGTTGGTGCAAGGCGCGTTCCAATAACCTTTATAGCCTTAGAGAAGTGTGGAGATATTCCCAAGGCTGTTCGAAAGGATCTTGCACTGATCGAAACCAATACCCAAGAGATGAGTATCGAGCAATACTGAGAAAACCCTGATCCCCACATAAATGAGTTGGGATCTCCTACCCCTGGGAACATCTTCCCTATTTATATGTTATCAACTTACCATTCTTGGAGAGATGTTCCCGTATACAACTCTGGTGTCCTCTGGGTAAGATTATTATGGGTAGGAGATCGAGACCCCACATAAATCTGAAAAATAAAACATAGGTTTTTAAGTCAACGGGAGCCAAAATCCCATTTACCTAACTTCCCCTATAGTCCTCAAGAGAAGGGTCCATCCAAAATCCCGTTTGACAAGTTTTTTTAGAAGATTTACTCTTAGCTCTGATAGTCAATAGATATATTGAACTTTTGACATAAGAACTGAGCTGCCCGAAGACCGTTTGACAGATGCGCATTTTTCGATTCTTCTCAAAATAAGCTCAAAATGGGCTTCTGTCTTTTTGGCACCCCATCTTTTGGGACAAAATCTTTTGCGTGCCAAACGGGAATAGACCAATTTTCGGTTTTCCCAAGTTGTAAACAGCCAAAAAAACCGCACGGAAAGATGTGCCAAACGGGCCGAATCAACTACGTGCTTAACCGAGATCGGCTTTTAAAACCTTGCATTGGAAATATCTTCCATGAAATAAAACACACAAGTGGAGATATTCTCAATGCAAGGCAGTAAAAGCTGCCCGAATGGGCTATTCCCTGAAGCAGCTAAACCATTCAATTTAAGGTACAAAAATCTCGCTACCACCGAACCAAGAAAAAAAATCAGAATTTACAGTTGTGGGCACATAAGTAAACCCCGCAATGCCCCAATCTATATCCCCCCTTCCCTTGTTTTTTTATACCCAACATGTCCCTACTCACCTACACTACATAACTACTTTGCAGATTGCAGGAAATATGCTTACATGGCCAGCAGATTAGGAGGCGAAGGAGGAGGATTAGTGAGCATGTGAACCACTTCCCTCATAGTAGGTCTTTCACTGCTCTTCTCTGCGACGCAACGCATAGCCACTTTAAACAGCTTGATCACCCCGGCTAACGGGTACCCGCTTAACCTGGGATCCACCACTGCCAGCACTGTCGCGGCATCCGACGGCTTTGAGATTTCCGATGTTGTTTTCTGGACCCACCTCACAATATCCACCCCATCCCCGAACTCGCCGACTGGCTTCCGCCCGGTGATCAGCTCTAGCAAAACCACCCCGAAGCTGTACACGTCGCTCTTCTCGTCCACCCGGAGCGTGTATGCGTACTCTGATCCAATACAACAAAAGCCTAATTTAGCTTAATACGAAAAACAGGCATATCAACAACCTTTAATTTTCCAAAGTATTTATGGGATTAGATTGGACCTGGTTCATTCGTAATGAAATTATATGGGACTGAACCAATATCTGGTCCATTAATCGAAGATAAAAAATATAGGTGTCAATGGACCGGAACAAAAATCTAAATTAAAACCAATTTAAATAAATCTGACGATCCAAACATTGAATTGGACCGATCCAGGTCCAAAATATTCATCAGATTGGATTGGACCTTGTCCATTTTAACTTAGCTCAGCTCTCCTTTTGAACGGTGGATAATAGAGAAACGTTACCGTGTTACCATGTTAACAATAAACCATGCACGACGTGGCTCTTTTACCCACCGTGAAAAGGGTATTCCCTCCACATAAAAAAAGTTTGAGTTCTTCAGGATAGCCGGAGACGGGAGGGAAACAACCGCTCACTGACCTTTGTACTTTACAACACCAGAATCCAGAAACCGATTTGTAACCGTGACACCATTAAAGTCGATAGCCCGTGATATATTTCACCGTTCCCCTATTTTTCTAATAACTTTTTCGTAGAATAAATAAAATAAAAAAGCGGAAAAGAAAATGGTCTTGGGGATAATTTCATCATAAAACTGTTTGTCGTTTAGGAGAAAAGTCAAAAGTAATAAAAAGCAGAGATCAGATGGTTCATATCACGAACCTGGCGCAATGTAACCGTACGATCCAGCAATGGAGGACATACACTCCGACGCTCCGGCACCCTGTAGAAACTTGGCGAGCCCAAAGTCTGCGACATGGGCCTCGAAGTCGGAATCAAGTAGGATATTGTTTGATTTCACGTCCCTATGAATTATAAGAGGAGAGCAGTCGTGGTGAAGGTAGCACAATCCCTTCGCTGCCTCCACTGCGATTCGGCACCTCGTCTCCCACTGTAAGTGCGAACCCTTCGATCCATGCAATAGTTCTCCCAAGCTGCCGTTCGGCATGTATTCGTAAATCAACAGATTTGTATCGTTGTTAGACACGAACCCTAGCAATCGAACAATGTTTCGGTGTCGGATTCTTCCCAGAGTTTGAATTTCAGCAGAGAAGCCGTGGTCGCTCCTGCCACTGCTTCTCCCCACCAGGCGCTTAATGGCCACGTCCACGCCATCCGGCATGGACCCACGATAAACGATTCCGGCGCCACCTTTTCCGATGATGTTCTCTTCCTTCAAGCATTCGACCACGTCTTCTACCTTGAAATCGAGCTTCTGGAACGGGGTCAGTTTCCAAGCTTTTGATTCGCGGCATTTTTTCCGGTAGCTTTTGAGCTTTAAAGCTGCAGTGACAAGGCCCAACAGAACAACTAAGATGATCACAATGACGATAACGACTTTTGAGGACGCGGAGCTTCGGCCCGAAAACCCATCCAAGTTTTGGGATGGTAAACATTGTACATGAAGCAATGGGCTGCAAAGATTGGGATTTCCCGTAAAAGAGGTGTCGTTGAAGACCAGGAATTGCCCACCAGTCGGCACCGAACCCGCCAACTTGTTGTAGGATAAATCAAGTATTGTCAGGCTGGCCATTGATCTTATCTCATTGGGAATTTGTCCTGTAAGATGGTTCCTTGATAGGTTCAGTGTGCTAAGGATTTCGAGCTTCGCAATTTCTCTTGGGATTCGGCCGAAAAGATTATTACGACTGAAATCTACCGACGATAGAGACTTGCAGTGCCCCAGAGCGATAGGGATCTCACCTGTAATGTTGTTACTGCTGATATTGATCTTGGAAAGCATCTTTAGACCAAATATCTCCGGCGGAATTTCGCCGGAAAATAGGTTTACATCGAGGGAGAGAGTCCGCAGGTTTGTAAGGTTTGCAATAGCTGGCGGAATTTTTCCGGTGATCCGGTTGTTGGATAGGGTCAGCAATCCGAGTGTTTCGCCAGATATTCTGTCCGGAAGTTCGCCGGTAAAGAAGTTATCATTGAGCTCCAGCATATCAACCAATGGTAGGTTGAACAGCCCAGATGGGATCGTTCCGTTGAGAAAATTCTTCATGAGACGTACCCGAGTCAACGATTTACAATCGCCGAGTTCTTCAGGAATTGGACCAAGGAAGTAATTATTCATCAATATCAACGTCTCCAACCTTTGACCGGCGCAGAGACGCGGAGGTATTGGTCCGGTGAGATGGTTTATACTTACGTCAATCTTTTTAAGCATACCATTACTTCCGAGATTCTGAGGGAGCTCGAAGGTGAAGTTGTTCCCCCACACTTGTAAGACCTCGAGATACGGGAGCTCAGCGACGAACGGTGGGATTCGGCCGCGTAGATGGTTACGAAAGAGATTAATGAGTGTCAGCTGCTTTAGCTCAGAGAAGCTCTCGGGAATCTCTCCCGTAAGATCATTATTCGAAAGGTCTAGTGATTTCAGACTGACAAGGCCGGAAAGCTCCGCCGGAATCAGACCTGAAAGCTTGTTAAGCTGTAGAAACAGAGTGTGCAGCAGCTTCAAACGGCCCAGACTTGCAGGAATCTCCCCGGTAAGATTACAGCTTCCCATATCAAGTATAAGTAACGAACTTAACGAACCAAACTCCGTTGGAATACCTCCTTCGTACGTGCTGTAATAACCAATATAGAGTTCTCGCAAGTTCGAAAGCCTGCTTAGAGTGGCCGGAATCTTGCCTGATAATCCATTCCCGTTCAAACCTAAATACTCCAAGCTCTGAATCTCGGAGTACACAGAAGGAATCTCACCGGAGAAAAAATTTCCTCCGAGATGGAGATGTTTAAGCCGCTTTAGTTTCACGAGCCCGGTTGGGAGACGTCCCGTGAAGTTGTTGTTATAGATATCAAAGATCTCGACCTCGAGCAAACCTCCTGCGATGCCCTCTGGGACTCCACCTACAAAGGCATTGTTTGAGATGTTTAGAAGCTTGAGAGAGGTGAGGTTGGCGATCTCTTCAGGAAGCTTTCCTGTGAGGTTGTTGCAGGAAAGTGTGAGGTTGACAAGCTTGTTTAACAGACCGATCTCCGGAGAAACTGTCCCGAAGAGAGGAACATATGAGACGTTGAGCGCAACTACCCTTGAATTTTCGTCACATGAGACACCAGAAAACAGGCAATGTGAGTTTCGAGAAGATGAAACGTTCCAGTCGTCCAGGCCAGAACCTCGCCGTCCGATCATGGCGGTTTTGAGCTTCAGCAGAGCATCGAGATCTGTAGTTGAAGAAGATGTGGAGAAAGCGAGACAAACTGAAGCAAAGAAAAGGAAGCATCTGCAAATGCTCCTCATCTCTGCAGTTGTTTCTTTTTACAAATTTCAGAGTGGAGCTTCAGTAGAATTGGAGCTAGACTCGGCGATTGTCGAAAGCTGAAACTGCAATAAGTAGAGCCTACTCTATGAGAATCGAAACAACCATAGACAAAGAAAAGAGAAACAAACGTGAAAGTTTAGAGATCAGAGACGCGGAGATGGAGACAGAGAGAGGTTGCACGGTGCAGGCATGCTTCTTCATCGCTGAAGACTGATAGTTCTGAAGGAAGAACGTGAGCGCAGTCCGCATATCACCGTATATCTTGGGCATGACGGTTTCTAACGGAGAGTTAACGGAACTCCTAATAGACAAGTTAATTAATGTGCCGTGATCGTTTGCCTTTTCATGGATGGCGTCTTGATCTTATGATCTCTGATGGGGTTAATGAGTACGAATCTTGATAGTCGTGTTTTGACGGCGTGATCTGGCAGTTTGAATGACAGTCTGCGTGATGATCTTCTTGTCTCTTGTCCAGTGTTCCAGACTTCCAGTGGGGTCAGATTTGAGATGATGTGGCCTAGCATTTAATATCCGGAATTAATTATTTTTAACTTATAGACGCGGATCCTTCTAATGGGCCGTGGGCCTTGGGGTTTTTTAGGGCCCCACCGCAAAGTCTGTCTGTGTCTTTACCCAAACAGACACCTTTCCTGTCTGACCGATCCAAGAAAAAGTCTTCCCTTTTTGTTCTTTTCTTATTCTTCCCTCCTACTTATTAATCCATCATTAGCTTCTTTAAACTCTGAATTCAATTCTTATATTATTGTGCGAGCCTTAGGGTTGATCATCCAAAACCAAAAAAAATTGAACAGAATCTAAATTTCCAGTATTTTTGTAAAAATCAAAGGTATTAATTTAGTTTTGGTTAATTAATATAAAAATCAGCAATTAATCGAATTAACTGATATATTTGTATTATATATAATATATGATTTATTATTTATAATATGACATATTATATGTATTTCTAATATTTTTATTATATATTTGTATATTATTTATAATATGTATTTTAAATAGTAAAAAATTGAAAAATGATGAATTCATGATTCAAAGTTTCATACATTCCGGTACGCCAAACTAGGTGTATCTGTTGAGGGGTCAATTAAAGGCTTGACCCCGAAACTCCTTACATTTTGCATATCGGTGACTTATTGGTATGAGTCAATACGAACCAATACGTAACAAAATTTTGATATGGTTCGATTTGAAAAATAGGCCCACAATTAACTGTAATCACCCTAATGCAAGGCGAGAGTTATAAATGAGAACCGAGCTAAGGACCATGGCCCACTTATTTGTCCACCTCTGACCCGGAGTTGGGCTTACTAGCGAAGCCTGATAGGTTTAAAGTAGCAACCAAGGACGGGAAGATATTCCTAGAAGGCTAAAAAGAGAATATTTGAAGCACAGAGACAGACGTCGTGGGATGGGAAAGAAGCATTTATTCTTCTTCCCAGTGACGTTGATCCACTAGGGAAGTGGGAATATATCCGAATTCTCTCAAATTTCTTTAATTGGGTGAAGGAGGGGAAAAACGGAGATTCTACCAGCAATAATGCATAAAGTGGGTGATTTAGAGAATATGAACTTATTAGTTTAATTTGTAAGGTCAATTTAAGAGATGCTTTCTTAGGAGTTTTAAAAAAATAAAAATTGGAGGGAGAAGGATGAGAATTGGGATAGTGCGTTTGGCTTTTAGATGTGTGCAGAGAATAAAAGGTGGTGGCTTATAAAGCTTTAAGAAGAATAAAGTGGTAGCAGACAGTTGGGTTGGGCATCCGGACCGGATCATGCTAGCTAGCTCTTGAATTAGGATTAGGTTTAGGGCACATCTGTTGAGAATGGGGAGGGGGGCGGGGGCGGGGACGGGGCCTACACTTCGAGAGTTTGATACGTAATACATGCTGCAATCATAACCTAGTCTACCTCATTTGGTTTATTTGAAAAGCTAAGAAACTTTGTGGGAGGTGTGAGTCTGATGAGAGGTTAAGGACCGAAGGAAAAGCCCGGCTTTTGTTTTTTCAGCTGGGCATCGTAAGCGCACTTATTTCTCACTAGTTAGAATAAGCTAGATTAGTGGGCCCGTTTGGTTCGCGGGAATATGGCTATTGGAACCGGAATCAGAATCTTATTCATCACGGAATGGCTATTCTCTTCTTTTTAAAAACTGACCCGGAGGCTGAATCTTTTGGGCCATCGATTCGATCGGGTCAAACCGTGCTACATCAGCCACATAAAAATTATATATTGAGTGTGTGTGTCTAGATATGTATAAATAGACCATTAAGCTCAATTTGAAAGGAATACAAATGTAAATATGTAGAATGCAAAACTTTGTATTCTATATTCTTTTATATGTATTTATACTGTTCATAATTATATTTGTATTCTTCCCAAACTATCCCTAGCCTCATGAATACTAGTACTGCAAACGGTATGAATTATCCAAATTCGAATTTGAATTTGATCCTGTTAAAAGTGATCCGGATTTGATCTATTTATTATTAGATTAAATATGAATCTACCCCTATCCAATCCTATTCAATTTGATGTAAATATATATGTTATAATAGCAATTTCTAATTCATTTTGTTTATAAAATATAATATTAAAGTTATTTTTAGCTCAATTTATTAATAATATATAATATTTTAATCATTTTTAGTTTAATTTATTTATACTATTTAATATCCGATTATAACCCGATGTGATGTGGTTTAACAGAATAGTAAGAGGCCGTAGAAAACGGCTGAAGTTGTTGAACGGAACAAATTTAGATTTCATGCTTTGTTTTTTAGTTGATATTTGATAAAATAATTAAATATTCACAATCTCCTTAAAAACTTAATCAATGAGACAAAAGTAATAAACTTTTCAATTCAGCATCTTAAGATATTATCAAATGATCCCTTAAATCATTAAATTCAATTCAGGTCAGCTTTAACTATTCACCTGTCACCAAACAGCTCGTCCTGTCTCTTGTATATATCAAATATTTGTTCCAAAACATTCTCATTCTAAATAGAGAGACGTTGAAATTCTTGAAATCTCTAAGGGTAAAGTGGTCATCTTAACATGTCTTTTCAGCATTCAACATGCACAGAGAAACAAGTGAAGTTGGAATGGCAAAAGAAAATAAATAAATAAGGGGATGCTCAACCGTGGCCGTTTTTCAAAAAAACGGTATCACCTCGGATTTATATAAGCGTTTCAACAAATATCCATATATTTCATTGTTTGGTTCAGGAGTTTATTATAAAGCAGGTATGTCTCGTAAATCAAGACCCTACTGATGCATGAAATGTTAAATTTGGTAAACCGTTTCTCCTAACGGTTGATTGATTGACGATTAAATGTATCCTATGTGGTGCTAACCTATCAGCACATGCATAAAAAACGGTGATAAAAATCACCTTATTAAATAACATAGTGTTGCTCACTACCAACGTGGCAGAAATACTCCCAAACAAAATTAAAGCTTTTTTTTTTTTTGTGAAAAACGGGTCTTGAAAGCATGAACGTTTTTTTTTTTTTAAATCAGTCCCAATAAACACCATGCTTCCAAAACACCATCTAAAATAGTAAGATACTGTCACCAAGGAAATTCCACATTAATCAACGCATCATACATAAAAAGCAATTGTAATTTGAATGTAGGGAAGCTAAAATATTTATAGAGGAATCTTCTTGCTGCCTTGATCTCCGTCTAGGGGTGTCAATTGGACTAGATTTGGTCCAATCTAATCTGGTCTAATATAAATCCATTACAGATGGATCAGGTCCAATCCAATCCCATGAATATTCTGAACCATTTTAGATTAATTTAATTCAATCTTTGGATCATCCAATTTATTCAAATTAGTTTTAATTTAGATTGATTTCAATTCAAATTTGATCCATTGGCACTGTATTTTTATCTTCTGTAAATGGATTGGATATTGATTCAATCCGATATAAATCCATTATGGACAGATCAATGAATACATTGGACCAATTCAATATGCCTTATTGGTATGTCCAATCTGTCAAAATTGATTTTAAGTTGGATGGGATTCAACCCAAAACTGGTCCGTTGACATCCCCATCTCCATACAAAACGTATCCATCCAATAAGCTTTGAGAGAAACACCATTCAGCATAAGCACCTACAACGAGAGTAAGAAACAGATAACCACAGGTACTACAAGTGGAGGAGATAATGCCACCACCAGTGAATAGCACATATGAGATTTCAGAAAGGAAGGTTAAATGGTATAAGGAACAAAAGGTTCTGAAATAGTATTATGCGGGAAAGGAACATGTATGGAGGAAGAAATAATCGAATTCACCTGATTTAGAACCCACTGAACAGAAACATTTTTATCGTGGATTTTTTTTTTCATTTCTTGCAAATCAGACATAATAAGAAGCAATCGCAATCCATGCGATGTTTTTAAAACCGGATTGGACCGGATGGTCAGACCGGAAAAAACAGAAACCAGTCACCCGTTTTACCCTGGAACCATTTTTTGGCAAAAAAACATTGATTTGGTCACCAAACCGTTGATCCAGGCATTCGAACAGTCTAACGGTTTTTGGTCATTTTTTATTTTTTTTTATTTTTTTGTTAGAATGGGATATCAATTCGGTTCGAACAGTCGGACCATTCGACCCTAGAACCGGATCCCTGAATGGTTTATTGTCCGGTTCGTTTTTAAAACCTTGAATCCATATAATAATTTTCAAAATTTTTGAACTCTCTTCTTATTTTCAATGGAAAAAACAAGTTGATTTTGTTTCAAAAAACAATATATACTTTTTGAAACTATCAAAATAATGGTTTTTAAAACAAAAACAGATTTTCTAGTATAGAATTTAGAAATTATATAATCTATGGAATATGATGTTAAAAAATCATATAAAAACATGTTTATAAGAACATACTTTTTGTTTCAGTTTTGAAAACAAAAAACACACATACAACAAGGAAATTCTTTTTATATTTTTATTTTAAAAAGTAATCTATTTTTAAACCAAATGATTTTGATTTATTTTTAAAACGGCAACAAGTAAAACAATTCGCGTTTCACAACGCCCCCAAAAGTTACATCTTTGATAACAGCTGAAATGAATGAATTGAATGACTATGTTGGGTCAAGGCCGATGATTGGTATAGAGTGCAACCGGGGCGAACTTGGGTTTCTAAATTTTAAATGGGCCTGACCTTGGGCTTGGTCCAATTTAATATATATTCTTTAAATGGGTGCCCAACTAATAATCTTACTTTCCCTTTATTTTCATTTTTTTATTTGCTAAGTATCTAAACTCGACTAGAGATGTTAATTTTCAGTTTTGTGTTTAAATCAAATTATTTTTTTGGGTAAATAAGTGTACATATAAGTGGGGATATTAAGAAGGAAATACATCATAAAAAGTTATCCACATGAAGGGCCAAATCCAAGAGTAAAAAGGATGGCTGCATATAAAAGGTTGGGGGATTAGAGATTAATTCATAAATCTTAGATTTTCCACGAATTATACTTAGGCTGTATAAATATATTATCTTCTTAATAGCAAGAGATGTTCAGTTGAGACTTGAAATAGAAAGGAAATGGGTTATATCTTTGTTCTTCTTTCATTTATAAACTATAATTATTAATGCTCATGTGAAATAAACATCTTCCCAAGGGGCATATTTTTTTTC